TTTGATTTCGTTTCAGAATAGTCAAAATTTAGTTGAATGAAAAAATTTAACATAACGAGCGATACGATACGACACGACAATCAAGGCGTTGAAACGACAACTAACCATATCGAATTCATTACGTTGATTCGCTATCGCTGATGCCAGGTCTGAGATTTCCTAAAAAGAGAATTTTTTTCATTTAAAATTCTGAACAGGGGGAAAATATCCAAACATGTACCCGACAGTCAAATTTTCAGTCCACCTGTCATGAACTTATTACATATCTTAAACAAATACTCCGAAAAACAATTGTTTTCTGCTTATTTCTTTTGCGATATGACAACAAATCCAAAATGCTTTCGTCAATGAAGAATGATTTTCACGGAAAGAAACTCGAACAAACATTTGAAAGGCTGCTTTGGCCATCACCGGACTCGCGTTTCGCTTTGCCTAATTTCTGATCGAAATCCGATTCGATTCTCGATGAAAGTTGCTCGAGTCGCGCCATTAAACGTGATTCCATCTCGCCCAAACGCTGAAACTTCCAACAATTATATGCACATGCCCAGCAAAGTCACCAAAATCAGATATCAAACGGATCCGATTGATGCTCGCCACATACTACTTCCAGTGCAATTTTCAATTCATTCTTCGCTCTCCTAATTAGACGCTTCAAATAATTTTGTGGACGTTCCAGGAGCTAGTCAACTGGAATCTTTTGCCTCCGCCGTTTTATATTTACGACTGATTTATTGAATTTTTCACTGAGACGAACCTTGTTGATTAGATTATCTTCGAGCTCTTTGAAATTCATGACATATGTGGTAAAATGTTGTTCAATTTTCTTCTGCAACACTTCTTCATCGTGCTTTTCACGGCCAATGTCTGATCTGTAAACAGCGAATGATGAATTCATCAATCAAATGAACTCTTCAGGAAATCTGTCATTCTATTAACTTTCCAGAAACAAAAACAATTTATCACCTCCAAGCGATTTCAATAAGATACTTTGCAAATCTGAACTTTCGCTCTCATTCATCCATTCTGTTTATGTGACTACTATCAAGTAAGCGATTTAAATGTGCTTAATTTACTGAAGAACGTATCGTTTCAATGAATGCAATTGCATTGAGTAAGGTGTTTATTACAAACAATGAATGCATTATTTGAAAATGGAATTAAAGCCGAGATA